GTAATGCCCTAAATACATTCACAAAGTTTACCAAATTTGGTTGCTTCAAGTTCAAGAATAACGGAGATATTATTTTTTTCAAATTTTATAACTTCACTTTCAAAGCCTATAACTCCTTAGGGAAGCAACTTGGTATAGAGGTAAGTTGCGTTAAATTGCCATATTTTGGGACCCCCTAAATTCCCCTGCTCTATGTCGGTTCTTATGTGAATCACCCTGTATACACTGTTGATAGCTTTTGTTGAGTCAATAATACCGTCTCCGAGAAAGAACTGCAAGTCCTTTTATCTTCCATTCGACTTCGCGGTTTCGTATATTACTACACAACCACTAAATTCGCAATTTTTTGCAATCAAATCACAGAATTAGACTGACAGAAGTGACATCAGACAATTGATTACTCCAAAAGAATGATAAAGATGCCTACAACGCAGGTGTCCCTACTGTTAAAAACTTAAAATTTGACGTCAATAATTTTCAGATTTCACAATAATGTAATATCTTCTCGATATTGATTCGTCCTTCCTTTTGTCACAAAAAAAAATAGTGTATTATACACGGGAAAAATATTAGACTTTAGCTCACGGTTTTTTGTCTCCCTCCGCTAAGCGTCTGGAGACAACACAACCTGGAGCTTAAATCTACAACTTTTTTCCCTTGTATAATAAATAACTATTTTTCCCATGAAAAAAAAGTGAGTACTTTTTTCCCGGATATACAGTGTGTCCCGCTTCTCATGAATACACCCTGATATCTCAGCTATTAATGATGCTATTCTCTTGAAATTCTGAGAACGATCACCCTGTATAAAATCTTACTATCGCTATCAAACATATTATGCGGATTCTGCGAAAAAAAGATGCTGTGATAATATTCATTACAAAAATATGAATAAATGCGAACTATTTTTTGCTACTGAGATAAGCATGCCAAAATAAAGACATTTATCACTAGTAAATAATAATTGATAACAATAATATATCTACACAGGCATGAACTTGATGACCAGCATGAACTTGATAATATCCATAAACATATTCTCAACTTATATTTATTCAGTGAAGATAATCGATTTTTAATCCCTTGGAAACTTTTCATCAACAAGAACAAATTCCAATACACAAATGTACAAAACAACATTAATGATGTTAGATCAACAACCACTTAATAATGTCATAAACATATCCCACAATAATTGATATATTGTACCTCCAACTTTGTCAGCGACAATGACACTGCCCTGTCAAGAAACCGGACACCAAAAAATTGGCTCTCTATAAAATGTACAGGGGGATTTTTTTTTGCTTTTGGGTGTATGATAAATTGACATTCATCATACTCGGTTTTAGTTGTATTATAGAGAGATGAAAATTGTGTATATCATGAAGAATGGCTGTAAGAATAAGTGGACATCATGGTTACTGATGAGGATTCAGAAATCCGAAATGGTTTCATTGCAATAAAGTCATATAACCTGTGTGTGAGAGATAATATTTCCCATATCACTGATATGAATGATTATTTTCGGAAGTTTTCAAGCTCATCAAGATCAGATGAGTTAATGCCAGTATACTTCTCCTATACATTCCAATTTTCATTTCAATGCTGAATATATTGGTGAGTTATAATTCTTAATCATTATACATCATATTATTCATCCGATTTGAAGAAAAATGTCAATTCTCAATTTCGGAGGATTTTATTTTTTATTTTTCATGTTCTCCTTTTGAATGTTCATCAGATATAATTCAATGTTCGACGTGGCAAATAGCCAAGAAAGTAGTTATTTTCTGTTGAATATTCAGAATGATGTGTTCATATACATATTTTTGTCTGAAGGAGGATGCAAATTCTCAATTTCAGAAGATTTTATATTCTATTTTCAAACTCTTATCGTGTGTGTGTTCAATAGATATAATTCAATGTTCGTCGTGGCATATGGCATATGGCCAGGAAAGTAGTTGTTTTCTATTGAATAAACTGAAGAAGAGTTGATATTTTCATCACATAGAGAATGCGAATCCTCAATGTTTTGCTTTATATAAATATATATCCATTTTTGTATGCTCGTAATTTATCTGAGAATATTCATTTTCAAGGGATTCTTCATATTATACACAATATCAATATCTTAGTAGTTGATGTTGGTTCTGCAAAAACGTTCGAATGGGCAAATATGAAGTATTTTTTTATGAGCATTCAGAAAAATTCCAATTATTTCCGGAGATATCCGGAAAAAAGGAAAATATGCAAAATCGTATTTGATTATTTTCCCTCAAAATAAATGTCACATCATCAGTGCCACTTTTCTTCCCATACCAAATGGAATTGTCAAATTGGAAATCCGACGTTTCTTCAAAGAGGGTCTATCATCAAATTCATTTTTTTAAATACGGGCCTGGATGTTTTATTTTATTTTCATCAGTTTTTGGTCTCCTCGATATGATGGTCTATACCAAAACAATTCATAACATGTTAACTTTATTGAACAAAAATATTTATGGAAAGTATGGAGATACACATTTTTGTCTAACACACTGTTTTTGTTATTGATTTCTCTTTGTCTAACACTCTATTCAGTGCGTAGTTCTTCATAATGCAATTGAACTTATTCAAAATGTATTATCAGTTATAAGATGCCAACAATGAAAATTAAACAAGTGTTTTTTTTTCATGAAATTATATTTATGAATGAAAAAAACGCAATTTAATCAAAAAAATAATATCAAATATCCAATATGAAAAAATAAGATGAGTTTTCTTTCATAGCAAATGCTCAACATTATTTCCGTTTGCTTTCGAGCATTTGTTTGCTTTTTCTAAAACTTTCCACATATCTTTGAACAGATCGCCTTCGTAAAGTTCGAACAGCGGTTATGATTTGCTGCCGCAGTTCTTCTATGGTGGCAATTGAGCCGTTTTTATAAACGGTGTTCCTTATGGCGCCACAGAGGAAAGAATCTAGTGGCACCAGGTCCGGTGATCGCGCTGGCCATTCAACCACACCTCTGTTTTTATTGTTGGCTAAGTGTAACTAATAATATATTCAAATCAACTCAATTATAAAGAATTTCACACTTAAAGATGAGTTAGACAAAGACAAATCAATAACAAAAGAATTGTGTTAGACAAAGATGAATATCTCCATACCCTTTATACAATTTTTTTTCACTGAAGTAAGTATTCTGGGAATGATTTTGATACACCATCATATCAAGGAGATCAAAAACTATCGATATAATAAATACAAAATCCAAGCTCGTATTTAAAAAATGAACTTGATGAAGGCCGCTCGAAGTAGAAACGTCTGATTTTCAGTAAATAAATAAAAATGATTTTGCGTGATTTTCGTTTCTTCCGGATATTTCCGGAAATAATGGGATTTTTGGCAGCAGCATTTCGTTGAGCATGAAATTGCGCAACCTTGCCCTGATTTGACCTACTCTCTATCTCCTATGGTTACTGATATCCCCAAGCTTAGCCACGAATTTGTATCACCCTGTATATCAGGCAAAAGTACTCACTTTTATCCAGTTGGAAAAAATAGTAATTTTCCTAACAAGTGCGGAAAGTGATACTTTCCCGCAGGAGTTAGGAACAATATTTTTGCTACAAGCGTAGGAAATTGATTGATCTGTTCAATCAATTATTCCTGTAAATAAGAACAACTAACAATAGTGATATATTCTCTATCATCAAATAATTAGTGATATATCTATTGTGTGTACCGTTTGAAGCAAGGAAATGAGCCAAAAATACTTCTTCTTTATTTGGTGTTTTCACTTTTTACCTATTGCATCAATCAATAAATCCCTTGTAGTGCTTCTCATACTTTTCATAAGACTTTGTTGGCAATAACTCATCTGTATCGCATTTGTGTTTTGATTGACATGACAACTATTGTTTCCAACATCAGATCAAATTAATTAAAGGCTATAGGGGGATTTATATTTCATTCAACTATTATTTTTCACTATTTCTTCATTTTCACAATTGATAGTGCAAGTTGATGAATGATTTTGTACAAACTTACTGAATACTACAACAAAAAAAACTAAAATTTTCATATTGTGTCACCCACCACTCTTATTTTGCGAGAATATTATATAAATGTTTTTTTATACTACTGCCATGAAAAGTAGCGCATTTCTCATAGCTTACTTGGTTTCAAAACCATGTATTGTTCATACAGTGAGAAATATCTTTTCTCACGGCACTTTGCCAACACCACATACATTTTCATGGAGAAACAACAAAAATCGACCACAACTAAATTGGCTTTTGTTCAGCTTTGAATAGTTGTCACAAATGTCAGAAGAAGTTCTTCAAATTCTTTGGATAGAAATCGTGGTTTCCATCAAATATCATTCCAACAATTCATAATAAATAATATGATGTTTAAACCGAGATGTGACGATTTTGATAAATACACCGTCAGAGACAGAGATAAAGGTAAAAGCTGCGAAAATTGGATTTGTTTCCGGAAATTTCGAGAAAAAAGTATGAATTGGCATAAACGAAAAATTCATGGAATCTAAAAAAAATACAGGAATAAAATCTTTTTCGGAAAGTGTACTTTTTTGAGGAACTAGGAAAGGCGTTTAATATGTGGTCACAATATTCAATGTGGCATAGTGCCACATTATAAAATGAATACCAATAAGTTTCATTACTTGGATTCTTTGGATAAGTGCAGTTGTAGAAAAAGTATAGTGTGCAACATGTGGGGAAAAGTACTTTTCTCACTCGTGTGTTTGCATCACTCGCCCTTCAGGCTCGTGCCACAAACGTTCACACTCGTGAGAAAAGTTGAACTTTCCCCACTTGTTGCACAATATACTATCCCCGCACTAGTGTGGGAAAATTTCCCAAACTAAATTGCGTGCGAGTATAGGGTGAATCACGCACGCTTGTAAAATTACATTTCTTGTAAACAGAGATGAAATGTCAAACTTTCTTCCTGTCACAGAAAAAATAATTGATTGTCCTTGGGCACTCACCTTCAGCCAATGATTGTTGAGCCACTAGAACGAATGCAAGGGCTAAGCCCAATCGCAATGGACCTCTTCGACCCATTGTCGCACTTCAACTGGATATAATCACCTCCTGTATCTCTTTTATAACTTTCATTTAACTCTGACCTTTCAACTGATAACGGGCTGCTGCGCTGACTAATCTTATTTTTCTTGATACCGAAAAGCTGGGGGTCCTGTGGAACCCTCCGGGATAATGTCTTTAACCTTTGATCTTATAGGGCCTTATGAATTCAACAAAGGACCCCGCAAATTTTTAAGGTAAATTGGGTCCCGGTGGATTTTTCTTTATTTTCATGGGGTTCTAAAGAATATTTTCCTTTAGCCAACCCCCAAAAATCGACAGTTTTTTTTGCCAGGAGGGTTTCATTCACATTTTGATCGAATTGATTTATTCCTGAGGAAATGAACGATATCCCAAAACTTTTTAATCCATTGAATACTTCTAAAAATAGATTCTTCATGAAAAAAATGAAGTGGAGGGGAATTATCACCCCCAACCCCTATTTTGAAAACCGACAAAAAGAATTCCATCTAACTGTCAAAAGTGATAGAAATTGTTTCATCACGGATAATCATGGAAACCGCATTTTTGCATTACTACTCCCCACCAAATGAGTGGTGCAAATGGAACAGAATTTGGTAGATGTTGCTGAATTTTTCATGTAGTCCATATGATTCTGATCAGAAAATCAACGGTTGACAATCCTAGAAAATTGACAGTTTTGCTGCTATAGGGGGTTTCAATCACATTTCGGAAAATTCAGACTACCATTTGATTCTGAATAGAAAGACAACTTTTTTCAATATTGCATTCCAAGTTTTTGGGATGCACTTTTAGCAATTGATCTCACGTGATTTTCCCAAGAAAGGTTATTGCTGATAGTAATCCCAAGCTTCGAAATGGATGTCTTCAAAGGTATATGGTTACTCCTGATAAGCCTATTGTGGGAACAGTGAGATCGGCTTTTCTAGAAAAAAGGCAACCTTGTGTTTTGTTTACATTGGAACCTACCAAGTTAGTGGATCTCCATTCGAGAATTGTAGCCAAGTTCATATTCATGTTGTCAACATTTCTTTCTCGTTCGTTTCTGATTTGCCTGGCTGGTATTAGAGCCCTGGAAGAGAAGGCGGTATGGAGGGTACTATTATCCGCGTAGCTGTGTACTGGACATGAAGTTGCTTCCAACAAATCGTTGATATGGAATGGAAATAGTTTTGGTGCTAGAATAGGAATACAATATCAACAATTGTTCCTCCATGGCAGTGTCCAGAACATCTATTTCCAAAGACTCCTCTGGAACACATTGCCAAGGGAGGTGTTCCCCGAGGCATATAACTTCCAGAAATTTAAGAAGACCACCAATTCCTACCTTATTTTCCTTGGTTCTCACGATGTTCTCTGAACATTACAGGATAACCCTTTTCGTGGGAACCAGAACATAAAAAAAATATTCTGGATTTCCGTCATGTGATAACGAGTTGAAACAAAAAGAAAATGGAAGGTGCCGCGAATCAAACTGATCGAAGTTAGTGGCAGAGCGTCAATATTTCCGTGAATATTTTGCTTTCGTCGGAAGATAATATCCGATGGACCACTGTGAAACCAATGTGGTGCTTACACTACAAGAATTCAAATCCACATGTTGAGTGGCTGGTTGCCCGACCGGTGTCTTTTCAACTAGGAATAAGCCAAATCCTCCCGCCATTTCACCTGAAATGGGATCTTCTTTTGGAGTGTTTCTTTCCTTACCAGGTGGCGTTCGCTTTCATTACGGCTTACCACCTCAGCTATGCCATCTCTTATCGAGTTCTCTTTCAGGCAGATCGCTTCACGTGGTGGTGGACGGTGTTTCCTCTGATACCATTGGCATCAATTCCGGCGTTTCACAAGGATCAATTTTGGCACCAACATTATTCCTGCTTCATATCAATGATTTGTTGGGAGTAACAACTTGCCCCATCCACAGCTTTGCAGATGATATATAGTACCCTCCATACTATGCGTTCTCTTCCAGAATTCCCATTTCTTCCCAGGAAACTGAGAACTCACGGCGCAGGCAGGTCAATGCTGTCAATGAAGATCTTGCTGAAATCACAGCCTGGGGAACCATCAACAACCTAGTTGAATTCAACGCCATCAAAACTCAAGCCTGTATTTTCTCTAGAACAAACAAAAACAAAACAGCAGATCCATCGCAAAAGCTGCTTCACAAAAACTCGGATTCTTGTTCCGTGCGAAAAGCTACTTCACACCTCAACAGATTCTCATGATCTACAAAGCGCAGATACGGCCTGTTCTAGAATACTGTTCCCACTTATGGGGTTCAGCACCAAAACATACGCTGATGCTCTCAGATTCCATCCAGAGACGAGCCATTCGCCTGGTGGGTGACGCCACACTCACCCACTCTTTGACATCATTGGAACACCGTAGGCGACCTTTCACTTTTCTATCGATACTTCCACGGGAAATGTTCTTCGGAAATCTCTGCTATCATCCCTTCACTAGCAATACCAATCAGACGAACTAGACAAGCCCAGTCAGCACATCCTTTCGTTGTCAACCACGAAAGATGTCGAACAGCACTTTATCAAGACTCCTTCATCCATAGAACGGCTAGGCTCTGGAATTCATTGCCTGCCGAAGTATTCCCAACAACATATGATCTCCAAAAGTTTAAAAAAAATTCCAATACTTACCTCCTGTCCCTATCCTCCCTAGGAACGCACGATGTTCTTTGAACATTATAGGGATTCCCTTTCGTGCGCTCCAAGCGATGAAATAAAAATTCGCAGACATTGAACGCCTCGTGAGATATAGAAATGCTGAGATGCGTTTACGTTTGGGTCAGGTTCGCACCAGATAGCGGTTGAGAATCTGAGACAGCCCTGCACTGATGAGATCAAACAGCTCGAAACTGGTCTGCAGGTAGTCACGCGTTCCTGAAAGAAACACTTGCGATTTCAGTCTTCGTTTGAGTTCCCCTCTCTCTTTGTGACCATTGCATTCAATTTTGAGTATTTGGCTTCTTCCTAGTTGAATTATCTATTTTCTGAACACAATAATATTATACTAATGTTGAAGTTATTAATTGAACGAATTTTTCTTATCTCTTGAAGCGCACGAAAGAAAATTCCCATAATGTTCGTGGAACATCGTACAGGGTGATTCACCATAAATGTCCCCCCATCTAGCTCAGTTATTTTTCAATCAATCGCAAAATGTGAGGCATCATTTCAAATCATTTCTGCTACATCAGAAAATACAAGGTGCTCGCACCAAACGATCTACTGGGTAGTAGTTGATTTTTTCAAATGAAACACCCTGTATTCCATTGCATTTCTAGATTCTCCCTGAAGAGCTGATCTCATCAATGTATGACACTAGGAGTCTAGCGTGAATGATCACAGAGATATAGGGTGTTCAAAATCGAGATTTTTCAACTCAAGGATTTTTTTCTGTCGAAGCTATTCATCGAACCACCCTGTAGTGTTCCGATTAAATGTCAATAGATAGTAAATCAAAAGTTGTGATAGGGACATATGACTCGTTTTGACCAATAATGAATAGTTTGGACACAAAGTTGAAAAATCTCGATTTTGAACACCCTATAACTCCGTAATTATTTCCGCTAGACCCCAAGTGTAATGCATTGATGAAATCAGCTCTTCAGGGAGAATATAAAAATGAAATGAAATACAGGGTGTCCCATTTCAAAAAATCAACTAGTATCCTATAGATCGTTTGTTCCGAGCGCCCTGTATTTTCTGATGTAAAGGAAAAAACTTATTGAAAAATCATTTCAAATGATCCCTCAAATTTTGCGATCGGTTCAAAAATAACTGAGCTAGAGGGGGGGACATTTATGGTGAATCACCCTGTACGTACCTCCAGGGAGAATAGGGAGAAGAGGTAGATGTTGGAATTTTTTTGAAGTTATAGAGGTTATAAGTTCTTGGAAATACTTCAATTTATAAAGTTTCCCGAAGCTTCGCCGTTCTATAGACGAACGAGTTTTGATAGAGTGTTGTTTGATATTTTTCAAGGTTAACGACGAACTTTATTATAAAGAATCCCGCAACTTTTATGGTAAAAATATGTCTCGGTGTTTCCTGAATTTTCAAACTCATTGAACTGCCTGATTCATTGGACAGATTTTGGAAAAAACGTGTTGAAGTTATAGAAATCGGCAATATTAATTTGATTGTTTTCTAAGGATTTGAAGGTGCATCAGTTCATTTGTTGTTGGTTATGTAATTAACGTATCTTCTTATCACTTCATAATATTATTCGGATGGTCCAATTATCTGAAATCTGAACCATATATTAGCAATAATATTTATTAATATGAAGGTATGTGTATGATATACAGGGTGTCCCTCCGGGAACTGCATCGATCAATATATAGAAAACCATAGGTGGACCGAATTTTAAAATTTGGTAGTTCACTATTGTTGATAAGTGCTATCCGGCTGAAATATTTTGAAGATTGTTGCACTTCCGGTTGTACCGGAAGTGGACCCCAACTTCGTTATTTCAAATGGGACACCCTGTATTTTATTGCATTTTCAGATTCTTACTGAAGAGTTGATTGGTTTCCTCCATACATTTGATATCTGATTTTATCTCATGAGCAGCTCGAGCAGTAAAATTACCTCCCTCATTTTTCAAATGGTTCTCTTCTCATTTGATTTTGGATTTCACATATTTTTCTAGTAGTAAATCGTGAGTAAGATTATTTGGTGAAATATATATTTTACCATCAACGTTTGCAAAATTTGAGGAGGAGCTAAATTCTTTATTCAAATTGTAACGGAAATTTTTCTTGAAAGACTCGATTATTTCATCAACATTATCTCCTATAGGTACTCAACTAATTTCGAGAGCAGGAAACTAAGAGATTCAACCCTTGACCTGGAGAATATATCATTTCGTAATAAATTATATTTAATTTCTTGTATGCCACTCTTTCTGCTTCAATATAGTGGTCGATATCTTCATTGAAGCAATTTTTCATCAGTTCTTAGTTCTACAACTTG